TGCACTGTCCGAACCCCAACCGGACCGGGAATGCCCAGATGTAGAGTTAGCATCATCGTGTCCCTAGTGCCCAAGAGGTCCCTAGCAGCCTGCGATAGTCCGCCGATCTGCCAAGAACCCTAGAAAGAGTCCAGGCCACCAGGGTCAGCTTACCCTCCAGGAATAGATGTGGGTTCCCCTTCAGGTCTGTGAGGTCCGTCACAGCGGGATGGCCAAGGCAGTGTTACTCGCTGAACAACGCCCACATGAGATACCATTGCTTCTAGGGGAAAGGCATTCACACTTAATAAGGAACCAACTTCACGTAGACAACCAGTTACAAGAAAATTGCAAAAGCATTGAAAGTACCCATTTTCCATCAGTGCAATAATTTAGAAATTCCAGTGAACTGGAAATGTTATGAATCAACCTGGAAGAGGCCATGTATTTATGTTGTCTCAACGCACTGAGAAGAGGATGGTTCGATAGGTCAAAAAATCTCCAAGGATCACAGATGGGGAATTGCAGAAGTTAGTTGCATTGTGGGTCAGAAAGTCTCTAAAATTAAATCTGCCATGACCTACATCACCACAAGTAGTTTGAAAGAGTTTCAAGAAAAAAAAGAATCTACTCTCATCAAAAAACAAACTCAAGCATCTTCTGTTTGCCAGACACTACTGGAACTTCAAATGGGATCGGGTTCTATGGTCAGATGAAACCAAAATAGAGTCCAAGCTGGGTTTGACACACACAAAAGTTAGCCATATAGAAAAGTAACTCATTCCTATGGTTAACTATGGTGGTGGCTCTTTAATGTTTTGGGGCTATTTTTCTGTCAAAGGACCTGGACATTTTGTTATGATACATGGCATCATGGATTATATTAAATATCAACATATATTAAATAAACAAGTGACTGCCTCTGCCAGAAAACTTAAAATGGTTTGATAGTCCAGCAGGACAATGATCCAAAACATAAATCAAAATCAACATAACAATTGTTTACTGACCAAAAAATCTAAGTCCTGCCATGGCCATCCCAGTCCCCTAACTTGAACCCCATAGAAAACCTGTGGGGTAAATATATAGTGCCTAGTTTATTTTTACTGCCATACTTACCTTTGTAATCAATGGTTCCTGTTCAAAACTCTTTCTCACTGCTCCTAAAGATTAACCACCCAGTCTAACTCCCCATGCTATCTAATGGCTGATCAAACAACAAAATGTATGCACCAGAAATGTTAGGAGGTGAAGAAAAATCTTGTTTTTTAATTGGCTGAATGGTTAAAGGCTATTTTGTACATCTTGGGTAATTGTAGAAAACAAGTTCTGGAAGATTTTAGATTAATTCAGTGATTCCCAAACATTTTAGGTTCAAGGCGCCCTTATTATTTCAATATTTTTCCAAGGCACCCCAAGTCAAAATATTTTTTAGGCCGTATATGCGTACAGCGCTGCGGCATATACTAGGCCCCTATTCTTGGGAGTGCCACGGTAGATTATTTAAAGGAACAATCCAGGCACAATAACCACTACATTACGTTGTAGTTTTTATGGTGCCAGTAGTGCCGTAGTGCTCTCCCAGGGTAAGTAGTCAAACTGTTTAAGAACAGTTTGACAAATTACCCGGGGTTCTTCCGGGATAGGGGCTGTAGTGTGTGTGTGAGGGGGTGCCGTGTGTGTGAGGGATGCAGTGTGTGTACAGGGGTGCATTGTGTTTCTGAAGGATGTAGTTAGTGTGTGTGTGTGTGTGAGGGGTGCAGTGTGTGTACAGGGGTGCATTGTGTTTCTGAAGGATGTAGTTAGTGTGTGTGTGTGTGTGTGTGTGTGTGTGAGGGGTGCAGTGTGTGTTAGGGATGCAGTGTGTGTACAGGGGTGCATTGTGTTTCTGAAGGATGTAGTTTGTGTGTGTGTGTGTGTGTGTGTGTGTGAGGGGTGCAGTGTGTGTTAGGGATGCAGTGTGTGTACAGGGGTGCATTGTGTTTCTGAAGGATGTAGTTTGTGTGTGTGTGTGTGTGTGTGTGTGTGTGAGGGGTGCAGTGTGTGTATATGTGGGGCAGTTTGTGTATGCGAGGGGGGCAGGTTGTGTGGTGGGTACAGTGTGTGGGGGGTGCAGTGTGTGAGGGGCAGGTTGTGTGAGGGGTACAGTGTGTGTGTGAGGGGAACAGTTTGTGTGTTTGGGGGCAGTGTGTGTGTATGGGAGGGCAGTGTGTTTGTCTGGGGTCTCTAGGGGTAGGAAGGCAAGTTAATAAATATATACTTTTTTTATTTTATTAAAAATAAAAATGATGTCCCTCCTCCCTGGTTACCTTTGCCTGGGAGGAGGGACATTTCCTGCAATCCCTCACACACAGTGATCCTGGTAGGGAAGCCCTGGTGGTGACAGTGAACTCTAGAAGCCTCAGCAGCTGCTAGAGTTCACTCTCGCGAGATTCGGAGCGTTGCCGTGGTAACCGCGGCAAGGCTCCGAGTGCGCGAGAGGAGAACACGGGTTCTCTCTCTCTCCCTTCCTGCTGGCTGTCACAAAGTGGTAGCCGGCCGGAGAGGGAGATCTCTGAATAATAATACATGTAGAAAATTTCAGAAAAGGGTTGATTTGGTATTCTCATTTAGATAGCAGCCCGAGGCAATGTCATAAATTCATTATTGCTCTATCCTAGAAATGTAGGCATTGCCATATTTTATTTACCATTGTTCCACCTCGAACACTAACTATAAAAACTAAAGGTGTATTCATAACCCTCCCTATATTGTTAGGTTTAGGCTTTGAGTAATGAGTATACCAAGTTTAAAACTTTAGGGTTAGCCTACAATCAGTTAAGATTTTGGAATCAGGGGTAGAAATCAGAGTTCAAGGATTCGGCTAAAGTCAGTTTAAGATTAGAGAAGGGTAAGATCTACTTTAAAAAGTTAAAGGAATTTATTTATAAAATATTTTACCAGGAAGGATACATTGAGATTTCTCTCGATTTCAAGTATGTCCAGTGAGATTGCAGTGGCATGATCTATACACCAAAACAGTTTAATTAAGCTAATGTTGTTTTGGTGCTTATAGTGCCAAAACAACTTACATATTGTCACAACAGGGAGAGAGCTTCTTTACCTTTAAGGATAGCACATTAAAGAGTTCAGGCTTAGGGTCAGGTTGGAGTATAGTCAATTTTAGAGCTCAAGACATATTTAATGTTTTTCTTATGAAAACATAAAAAATGTATACTCATAAATATAGAACATGTAGAATACAGAATAAGGCTGAATTTCCCTAGTGTAAACCATTAGATAAAATTGCTTAAAACGGCCCAAGGTGGCTATCACATATTCAAACACAAAATACGAATCTGCATATTTGCTCTTAACTCGCCAGAACAATTTAATTAAGTAATCTTACTGGAATTGGTGGAAGTGGGGGGAAAGGCAATTTCTATACATCTTAGAAATCTGGGCACTCAGTCTGCACTTTTGGGAACACCTTAATTCTAAGTAAATAATAAACAAATACACACGCAAACAAACAAACAAACAAACAAGAAGCAAACAAAGTTAATTAGTAACTCTTACTTCTGGCATATGAAGTGTTGATATCAATCTATATTTGCTTTGCAGATAGAATATAAAAAGATCAAATTACTCTTTGCTTTTTAAAAACAAATGTTTTACATTTAACAGAAATTGCAGGGAGGGTGTGCTTTACCAAAGATCCTTCGACCATAGACTTTGCCATCATTTTACACTGGCAAATCTTTAGGAGTCATTAGTGAGTGACCTAATTCAGCACGGCATCCTATTTATAATCCGGCTGTTGTTGCATCAGCTCATTCTACAGATGTCACAGAGTAGATATTAGATCCAAAGGGAGAAAGAGCTGTTTTTCTAGTCCCTCAGTACACCTCTCTAGCAGGAAGATGCACTGTACACAAAATGTGAATTTAAAATGCAGCTTGTGATGAAAAATTAATATTTGTATTCCATGTCTTAGTATTTTATAAGCAAAGATGCATGTGCGCTGTGTGTTGTACTCCCAGTGATTATTTATTGATGATTACTGAAGAGTATACAAAAAAAATAAAATCTGTGAATATTGTGTTACAACTTCAGTAGACACATGCTGTGCCAGATTTGCAGGAGACACATGCTGTGCCAGATTTGCATTAAAGGACCACTATAGTGCCAGGAAAACATACTCGTTTTCCTGGCACTATAGTGCCCTGAGGGTGCCCCCACCCTAAGGGTCCCCCTCCCGCCGGGCTCTGGGGAGAGGAAGGGGTTAAACTTACCTCTTTCTCCAGAGCCGGGCAGGGAGCTCTCCTCCTCCTCTCCGCCTCCTCTCCCCCTCTTCGGCTGAATGCGCATGCGCGGCAAGAGCTGCGTGCGCATTCAGCCAGTCTCATAGGAAAGCATTCACAATGCTTTCCTATGGACGCTTGCGTCTTCTCACTGTGATTTTCACAGTGAGAAGCACGCAAGCGCCTCTAGCGGCTGTCAAGAGACAGCCACCAGAGGCTGGATTAACCTATTTATAAACAACCTATTAATAAACATATGTTTATTTAAAAA